TTTTCTAAATTCGGTGGCATAAAATCTACCGAATCCAAGGCCACGGGATTCAGAAAATATATATTTCCTTCATGTTACTCGAAAACGACAAATATTTTTTTTATTATATTTTAGTCGTTTCGACACATAAACATATTACATACATAAAATTTAGTTTTTGAAATGTCGTGTAAAAAAGTCAAAAATCAGCCTAAAAAAGTTTTTTTTTATTCTAATGTTAGTGTGCATTTGACGTCCATCTCACCTGATGGAAAGTGACGATGAGGTCGACGATGGAGCATGCTAACCTAGATAACGCCTATTCACTCTCGCCTCGAAAAGGTCCAAGTTATAACGTTCAGGGAACAAGTTTGCAGGCAGGGAATTCCACTCCATAGTCGTTCGCCATATAAATGTGGAGGCGTAACGCTTCGTCCGACTCTTTGGAATATCCACAACATAGGGGTGGAAGCCAAGCCTAGTCCTAACATCGGCAACAAATTATCCACCTGTTCTCTCCAGACGCAGGGGCGTGATGGACGAATAATACGAATTGCGAAGCGTAGTGTGATTAGTAACGACTACCGAATTCCCGCGTAAACCTGGGACACGCAGTAATCTTGGTAATGTGATAAAGCTATTGTCTAGTTTATTGTGAAATGCAGAGTATAAATACTGTCATATAATTTATTATACGTGAACAAAAGTCTAATATTGATATATCGTTTCGATTTTGAGAATAATGACACTTTGCGTCGGATTCTGCACTTGCTTATTCCATGAGGCACTTCCATTGTTTTTTTTTCTTCCGTGGTCACTACCGTACCCCCCACAGATATAGAAAAAAATAGAGAAGATATGTAATGACGCTATCTAAGATCGGGTACCGATGTAGCCACTTTTTAGCTTATGTGCAATTCAAACTTTACACTCTATTATCTACTACCATAACTTAAAGATTTTGATTGGGTAGGGCTTAAAACCTGAAAACGACGTAACATAATTTTAAAATTTAACAAAATTAAACTTACAGTCACTTGAATAAGAGTTATATGACAATATTTCAGTATTTTTTTCATCCTGTGTCAGCCATTCACCATCAGGTGGCGTTTTAGTAAAAATGCTACTAGTATATAATAGCTAACTATCACACGTTAGATGGCGCTGAAACTCATTTTTCGTTACACTAAGAACTCACGAAGCGGTTTTCACCCGCGTCTGCCGCGGGAACGCAGCATCTGTAGAATGTAACAGTTAAGGATGTAAAATTTGTAGCACATTTCACGGCCCGTTTTACGCCTGTAATGTTGACGGTTGCTCGCGGTTGCCGCGGCGGGGTACTAGTAGAACCGCGCAGGACGCAATGACCTGCGGGCTTGGCGGCCGTCGTCGTCGCCCGCGCACTTTGGCGGTCAGTTCAGGCGCAATGTGGTGCAGGCGCACGCGGGGTGAGTTCTCTATTAACCGCGCGACTTGCAATTAACTCCCACTAACTTCGCGGTCCGTTCCGCAATCGCAACGGTTTCGTGCCCGCAACTGCGGCGGCTACGTGCCCGCAAAAACTTGCAGGGTCGTGAGTATTGAAATAAAACCGCTGTCTTGCAAGCACCGGCCGGCGCGGATGGAAACCGCTCCGTGTATTTTTAACCTTAATACCCTTAAACTGACGCTACTCAACGAGGTATGTGGTCCTACCTAATCGATAATTGGAAACCATGTGGCTGTTTTTAATATTAAAAAAATATTCCATTTTTGATGCTATATCTACACTGGTACTAGTGTATTATGAAATTAATATATTAATATGAATTATTATTATTTTCTTAATGGCGGTCACTAGGCTCGGACCAGTGTCAGTTTTATAAGAATAATATAAAAAATATGGCGATCATCGCCAGTGTCAATTTTCCATGACACGTTACCACGGGTTGGTGAAGCTGTCACTGTCAAGAGTAAACTCGAACCATCAACGAATTTAATAAATTAAATTAAGTTGTTTTTTATGAAGGATTTATGTAGTTTTCTACAATTGTATTTTATTTTATTTATTTTTTAAATGCATTTGCTGTGCAAATTGAAACAAAGTCAGAAATAGTAATAAGAAAACCAATCTTCCGATTTTCCTGCAGCTTCAATCCAACATTCTTTTATTTTAAACTCATTGAAAAAACTTAAAAATTAAAAATATTCTACGTTTAATCTACGAGTATAATGGAATTGAAATATGTTAAATATGTAAAACAATAATACACATACATTTTTCTTCAAGCACCAGCAACATACAAATTGACATGAAATTGAAACGGTTATCCGAAATATGAGTTGTGTTAAAGTTACTCGAAATAAAATGTTTAGTAATAATAATAATAATAAAATAAAAGAAAACAATTTAAGGTGAATGCTTTTCGCTTCGATATTTTAGGGACTTTAATTACAAAAATCATAGTAAGAAATTCAACCATTTCAGTAAAAATTTAATGTCGATAAACATCAGTCATCGTAAGTGAACATCACTATATTTGAGCCTAGAAATTTCTATGGAGACAAATAGAAAACATTGAATAATAATAGAAATAGCAACTAAATATGCAAATAGCCGGTGCAATATTATCTCCCTGGTTTTAAAAGTTTTTGTTTTCACTCCAATTTTTACAAGGTGTATCGCTACAACTTGGCACGTTCACGTTTTACGAGAGATCTTGTGTGTACAACGATCGCCATGTCACTATGGCGATGTTTGTAGGCGTGTCACCTAATATGACCTCGATATGATCAAAATTATCATATCGAGGCGACACGAACCACGCCCCTATACCACATCTCCCCTTTTTTCTATATCTATGGTACCCCCAGATGGACAAAAAGTATTTGACAATGTACTTACATTATTTTCAATATTATTGATGGCCGTACGCCTCAAGTGGGGGCAATAATAATAAGATCTAGCGATCAACATATAACCTCTTCTCCTGTCGTACCCAAAGTCATCGTATGCCCTGAAAAATAATAATACATTAAATTTAAATTTTAAAATCCCCTTTACATCGTACTCCAAATCCGTAAGCTAACAAGTCATCAACACATTTCAAATCCAAACACATTAGTTCTGAATTCGTTAAGAAAAAAGATGACCGAGAGATAAGATTCTAATTACCACAGATTCTAGAAGTGCGCTCCAATACTTGGTCAAATGTAATTTAGAGAGTAAAGGCATACCAATAGCACATGAAGCCAAGAAATTTATCCACAAGTTGAGTATAAAAAATCTTTATGCCCTGGATTCCATCACACGTACGTACCCTAGGTAATGAGGAGTTAGCTAAATTTGCTAAAGAAGCCATATCTGATGGCGTGAGCATGTTTTGTAAACAGACTGCTACCGAACTTATTCCTCTAGCTAGAGATATTTGTCTAATCATTTGGGATAAAGACTACGACGAAATTACACTAGCAAGAGGCATTTGGTATAAGACGCAACCGCGACCTTCGTTTACGATCGAGAACCTTGGTTTAATGGTGCGGGTCTCACTCACTCAAATGCCCCTAACTGACCACCAGATTCCCATAAACACCATATACCACCGTGTTAAAGGCCTTGCTAAAAACTAAGTCCAAAATCCTGGTACCACGATTTTGTTTAACTAAAGTAAACGATTCTTCTAAGGGGAACTATATACGTTTTTACAATAAGATTCCGGAGCATATATGTACATATTATAATTATCATTTTCTAAGTTTTAGAACCTATATTAAAAATATTTTAATTGAAAAGTCATATTATAAATTGAAAGCTACGTGTTAGATAAAGATGTATGGAAAGACAACATGACTGGATTCCACACAAATTTGATTCAAAGTGTATTCCATAGCATTTAAGTCGGAAAAGAGCACTTCCTGGAGTCTCTTGCTTGTTCTTTTCAAGGAAATCAGCAACAATATACGAGCATTAAGGTAAATGTACCAATCTTTGACACTGTCCCAATGCATGGCCCTTTTGCATTTTTTCTCAAAAAATAAGAAAACAAATATTGATATTACTCCAAAACCGTGTTAAATGTACTAGCAACGTCATCTATGAATTTAATTTAAAAGCTTTCATTGATTAATTCAATATTTTTTTAACCGACTTCAAAAAAGGAGGAGGTTCCCAATTCGACTGTGTTCCTTTTTTGTATGTATGTTACGCGATAACTCCGGTATTTGTGAACCGATTTTCATGATTCTTTTTTTGTTGGAATGGGAGTACGTCCATAGTGGTTTTTTTTTTTCATTTTGAAGAAAATCATCCACGTTTAAGGGGGTTCACGGATGAAGATTCATTTTTATAAATAGCGCCTAACTTTAATTTAGGAGCAATTATTTTAATGGTTGATTTTGCTATTTTTCTAATTCAAGGCGTTTTTCAATCAATATACTTTGAGTGTTGAGAACCGATTATTATTATCTCCAGTCCTGTATAGTGGCGAACTAAGGGATATTTCAATAATACTTAGCAAATAGACGTAATTCCAGGTACTTTTGAGGTCGGTTTTTTAGTACTCTGTACAAAGATGATTTATATGGCGAAAGTCTTTGCGAGCAGGTGATCGGAATGTAACGTGTGTCGCTCTTGTTGTATAAATCGTTAAGACTGAGTAGTTTAAATGAATTTATCAGTCGGAATATTATTAATTACCGGTAAGTGTTTATTAAAACTATTAGATAACTATAAAAGCAACATAAAGTAACAAAACGATATATAATTTTGTGTGTTTTTATTGATGTATATCGTTTATATTTTATTTTAGAGCCATGCACTGGTGCAAAATTTTAATGTTTACTAGTAGTTGACAACCATGTCAAGCACTCGTATATATGAATATTTATTAAATCTTAATTCCGACCATTTTGTAAGGACGGAGAACATAAGTTTAAGTTACTCTGTTAGTGACAAGTTTCTATTGGTACTTTCAGTAGTGTTTGACATGGGTGTCAAAAACTGTTTTACTATGGGGACCATTGACTTACAATTATAAGTCAATGATGGGGACCCAATAATTGACAGTTGTTTATTGAGGTGTCAAACTAGGACGTAACTAGTGTTAACTGGTATTGTTCAATGAAAAAATGCCACTTAGGCTTGTTATGATGATGACGTATTTAAGGCGGTAGACGAAGTATCAAGATCAATTCCTATCGCAGCAGCTGCGAGAAAATATGGAATACCGCGGATTACTTTACTGTATAAAATTTTACTAACTTAAAATTTCATTAAATTTGTATCAACATTTTGGTAACTCATTTTTATTTGAAATTTTGCACAGAGACTCTAGATGAAGTAAGCATTATTTTGAGTCCTTTAATATAACTACACCTTTCTGTTACATCCCTATATTTTCTATTACTAGTTTCTATTTTGTATGTGTTTTGCACGCACTTACTTCCATTGACTACAAATATAAGTAAGTATTTATTAATTTTAATAATTTAATAAATGCAACTCGTTTGATTACGGTCTTTCTTATTTTTTAAATTTATTATTATCAACTGATTACTGCATTGAAATAACTATCAAATTTTAACATAACGTCCTGTCAAATACTGATACTCCGATCTCACTATGCCATAGTCAACTATTGGGACATTAGAAATTCTGCCTGTCATACACTGGTACAATTTTAGAGTAGCGTAAAACTGGAATATATTAATAATGCCTATGATTATTTTAAATTTTATAGTTCCTAGAAGATAAATGACAAACCGTTTAATAAGTTAACATGCTTAGGTAGTTAGTATGACTGATAATTAAGTACTTTTTTGGCGAAATACGTGATTTTCCGTCTAAAAGCGTAAATCACTGGGACATTTACCTTAGCTTAATAATGACGTTTGCAAGTGTAAATTTGTTTTACCTATGGATGAATGAATATTTAACTTTGACTCAGCTGTAATGTAAGTTGTTGAGGGATTTGACAATCTGCAACAAACTGCAAACAGTCCAGATTGCAGCGTAACATCAAGGTTATAATATTGTGATTTTATTGGATTTTGCACAGTTTACAGTAGCAGTAGAGCTCGTTATGAAAAAATTCGCCCAGGGAAATACTGCCACTTTACCTACTACTGACGTCAGTCAGTAATGTGAGCATTACTGAAGGGTATAAGGGTGCTGGTGATATTGTAGGCACTACTTATGTCGATGAGGATGTTCCACATCTAGGAAATCCCATATCTTGGGAACAAGTTACAAAAACTTTTCATACTCTCCGCTTAAAACGATCTTGGCCTTCACTACATTTTCAACAAGTACCTAACATATTGCGACTGCCCCCGTTCTGTAGTGCGTCCATGTTTGCGAAAGCGCGTACCAACGGTTTTGACGCAGTTGTACGAAAACGCATGTCGTCGACCATGAGCAGGATGTGTTGCGGCGGTAACAGCCTTCTGAATACCATATCGGAGGAAGTAGCGTGTTCGATATTGTGCCACTGGAAAAGAATTCACGTCACCAATGAACGGTGACATGAATTCTAATTGCGCATACCTATTTTTATTTTCTATTTTTTTTAAGTGTAATTTACTAACATAGTCCTAAGTTTTCAATTGTTAGAGCGAGGAGCGGAACAAAAAATCCATCCTTAGGTCGGGACACACAACATATTGAAATTTTAATGTTAAAAAAACTGAAAAGAACACTTGATTTTCACTACTTAATTTTTGCCATTTTTGAATTGGTATTTTTTTAGATTTTTGCTAAATAAAATACTATTTTCAACAAATACTACATAGCTGTAAATTTACTGTGACAATGACGTATACGATTTATATTGTTTTGGTCATAGACCAAGAATATTCTACGTGTCACTGATTTCACAGAAGTAAAAAAAATACTGTCTTCTTTTAGTTTTTATCTATTTTGTGGATTGTTACGATAAACGCGAGCATTGAAATAATTTGTAAAACATTTTTATGTAGCGTAAATTAGAACATTCTTTGGAAAATTGAAAATGACGTATATTAATAAGTAATAACTTTTGTAATTAAGTACAATGAATAATTGCAACCTTTTTTTTATAAAACCTCAAAAGTTCGCGGAATTACGTCTAGTGGCAAAGTTTTATTGAAACCGGTTACAGTCTAGGTAACGAGAGATGAGGCCTCAGACGTCACTTGTATTGTGTTATCTGCAATTTTTGTAATTCTCCTAACAATAATATGGAGAAAACTACAAAAAGCGATATACGAAAGCTTCTCTTGACTATGATCGGTAAATTTATTTATTTAATTATTTATTGTACAGAAAAAACAAAAACATATTTGACTATTTCTTAAAATATATGTGCATTTACAAAAAAAAGGGTGTGCCCCGAAATAGTAAACAAAAATACTATATTGTTATTCAGTCATACAAAAGTAAATAGAAAATTTAAAAAAAAGCACGTTAGTTTTTAATACTACGAAGAACGAAAAGTGTAATCTTATTATTTCATTAATTATTTCAACTTTTTCCTAACAATGCTTTTTACTCTCCGTACAAAAATAAATATGCCACCGCCAAGTGTTTGTCATTTCATAAAATACGTTACGTCACGATAATAAGGTGCATGTTTTTGTACAACAGACCTTGATTGAATGTAGTTTCTGTATTAAAGTGATTTGATATGCGGTATCATAGTAAAAATTTAAGTAATATGCCAAAAATAAAATGAGTCATACCGTTATAGTTTTGCACGGGCACCACTAGAATCATCCTTATTGGCTGTTGGTCTGGCGTCCTCGGCCACATTTTTCATGACAATCAGTCCAATGGTCCAAACGTGTTGGTCAAATTAACGATATAATTTCGTGACGTAAACTTCTTCGTAAAATTTTGAATCGGTTATATTTTTTTAACTAATGTAGATAAGAAGCGTATACCTTTAATTCGTGAAAGTAGCAAATAGGTAAATTAAAATAGTATAACACATAAATGTACAATTAATAATATGTTTATATATATGATAAGAAATATAATAAGAAATTTTGTAATAATAATTATTGCTAAGGCTTGAAATGTAATTAAACCATATTATAAGTTTTATATTGCTATGCCGTTCCAGGGTATTACATGTATACGTAATATAATGTAAAATTTGTATTATTTATATTATGTAAACTGCAATAAATATATTATAATTATCATTATCATTATCATTATGTCTAATATATGCGCCACTGTTTATTCGGTAAGATTTATACTGCAAAAAACGTGCAGTACAATGTCGTGTGAACGGGGGGGGGTAAGAGTATTCTTAAATATAAACTGTCGTCTATTCACAGAAAAAACTCATTGACAGAGACAAAAGACTCTCTCTCTCTCAAGAATCTTACTACGTCAGCTACTAATTTACGGTTCGGTTCATTTTTCTTCAGTCAAGCGTAAGGGACACTGGCTTTCTTACAGAATTTATTTTTTTACAAACAAAATTGAAGCCATTAGAAAAATGTATATCGTATAGCACACGTGTTCTACTTCAGTTGACATTAAAAAAACTCATTGGTATATATAAAGTACCCATCGACTACAGCGGTTTTCTTGTACAATTTCGAGGTAAGTTTGTGTTTTTTTTCTATCTTGAAAATTTTTAAGAACCGTGTTTTTCACACCGTATATTTTTTCCAATGTGACTTTCAACACTTTCACAGTAATCAACCAAAGCCATTTCAGGTAGTATAGATGACTTTTTTAAAGAGGATTTCCTCTTTATAGATATGCCACCCTCATAGGGGCAATACTGAGATATTACAATCTAGGTATTGGTAATTTCACAACGTTATACAACATCTCAGCCTCCATGAGCAAGGGGCAGGCCAAGATGCTATTGCATATGCCTACTGCACATAGCGTTAAGTCCGGAATCTGTTGTCTTAACACCCCACTCCTAACACACTGCATTATCACAAAATAAACGTCTTCTGGCACGTATCTAGTTTGGTAAAGGAATCTTTGACATCAGATAACCGAACTTGTTCAAAGGAACGTGTCCTGAGCGAAGCCTTAACGCCGTAACTAATTCACGCCTGCTCATTTTGGCGTCCACAAACCATGTAATGCCAGGTAGATTGGATCGAATAGTTTTATACCAAATTCCCTTACTTAAGGATCTTAAATCGAAGTAGTCCTTCATAGAGCTGTAACAACGCTCCCTAATTAGATACAACCTCTTAAGACTTAGTTCACTTCAATGCTCCAGTGGTAGATATCCACAGAAATTGTAAAACAAAAAACGTATACAAAAACCGGTTGAAATATCTATCATAAGCTCTTATTAAGGTGGGTTAACGAACATTTTCTCCACTTAAGGCACTGGATTTTGAATTAAGGTAGAGCTCGTGTAATAGCACAAAATCAAGTCATAATTGGGTTAACCGTCGCTCCCGGTTTACTAGCTTCAGACATGACAAAATGAGGACAGCATTAATTTAGCTCTACGTTTTTGATCTAGGTAAATCTAAATGCTACCAGGGTTTTCTGCCGAGACAGAACTCACAGGGCAGATACTATGACAGTGATGTAAAACACATCATGTGATGACAAACACATCTTACGTATAGGTGATGCAACGGAAACAGGAACGGATGCGGAAGGGGAAGTGTAAATACAATAAAGATCTCAACATAATATGTTCTTTTTTATGATATCAAGAGACGGGACGAACAAATCGTACACGAACCTATCTATGATAGTTGCAGCAGGTTGCAGAGCCATTCAGATCTTTAAATCACAAAGATCTGAGGGGCACTGCCACTGCGGCCGTCACCCTTACCTCTCAAAACCGGAACGCAGTAATGTTCACATCACTGCTTGACGGCAGATATAAGTAAGCTGGTAGTATTTACCTTTATTTATTTTTTACATGGGGAAATCCTTCACACAGACATAACCTCTCTGTTGCCGGCAACAGAGAGATTATATCCGGCTCCTACTGACTAAAACCCCACGGTGTTCCGTCCCTGCATCTTTTGCCGGGACAACAGGAAAGCTTTCGCACTTTTCTGCGGTCCCAATGGCGCTGGCCGAGGGCCCATTCCCGTTGGAGTGGAGCTGAAGAAACTGCGCCCCATTCATCACTAAAAGGGGCACGCAGATACGCCGCATTACGGGCGGCAGACGCCCCCGCGTCCACCGCTAAAACCCTTGTTATGGTGGTTGAAGGAGAACTTGATAGAGCCTCCTCTGACGCCCGGCTCTCCTGCGGCGGATTGGAAGAAGGGTGGAGCAACTTCCTTCTGCGACATCACGCGTTAGCAGAAGGATACTACCTCCGTCCACGACCTGTCGCTTTCCAGCATTGATTTGATCAATGCAGGGAGTGACAGATCGCCCCTCACTGGTAGTACTTCCGTAGACGAACTCTTTCTCAAGGAGCTCTACTCCTATTTAAAATAAATAGTTGCAAACAGAACTTGGACTTTTGATTACACAATTGCCCATAACAAGACAAATCTGCTAAAAAAATTGCTAAATTACAAAGCAGGAGCAGAGGTGTGTTGCATCACTAACACTTGAATATTTAAATAATAAAAATTGCCCGGAAATTAGGTAGTGAACACTAGTCCGAGAATGACCAATTTATGGTCTAGCTCTACTTCACATATTATATATATTTTGATGTACACAGGGTCTTAGGAGGTTAAGAAAAGCTGACTCTGGAAAAAGGCGTACAGTGATGGACATGGGTCAAATCAAATCAAATCAAATCGTTTATTTGCATAAAACATGGTGGTCATGATAACACAATAAAATACATATAAGTTCAAGCATGTTTCGCCCGAAGATAATTTAGGCATGCAAAATAAATGAAAAATAGGTCGTCACATGATTACATTTACATTAAGTTATATATAATTAATTTAAATTCTTTTACATAAAAATTATTGTAGAAATTCCCTAATACTGTAATATACTTTATTCTTTAACAATTCATATAATTTAGTCTTAAATAATGTAATGGGCAAGTGTTTAATGTCATTTGGTAATCTATTGTAAATTCTGACACACATACACAAACAATTTTGATTATATTTATCTACCTTAGGTACGTCAAAAAAAATTAGTCTATTGGGATTTCTATAATTTCGATGGTTCACGTCAATACTCTTAATAAACAAATGTAAATTATTTTTCACAAAAATGCTGGCTTCATAAATATATAAGGCAGGCAGGGGTAATAAACCAAGATCTTTAAATATAGGTTTACAGGATTCAAGCGGAGTCCTACCAGTAATTGCACGTATACATTTTTTTTGCGCTAATAACACTCTGTTTATATTCGTACCATTTCCCCAGATAAGAAGTCCATAACGTAGGGTCGAGACTACATATGCGTGATAAACTGTTAACATGGTTGACATATTTGTTGTATTACGCAAACATTTCAAGCGAAGGCAAATTTGTTAATTCTTTCACAAACGTTTTCGATGTGTCTTCTTTTTGTCTTTTTAAGAGGGCCGATCAAGATCTCACTCTCTACGACAAAACCGCTATTTTCTGTTCACATTAATTCCACTAGTTATGGCATGAATAAGTTCCTTACGCGAATTGCGCGTACTTTTAATCAAAAATTTTGTGCACTGGATCCGTTGATCGGATCTTACCTCAGTTTTGGAAGG